ATCCCTGTTCGCAGAGGAGGAAGGACAATACCTGTGTCGCTTGTGTTTCTTGGAACTTTTCTTTTTCTTTTTCTTGACAGGTGATGGGCTATATGACGGGGACCTGTGGGGGAGGGAGACGCTCTTCAGAGGGAGGTTCTTAAAGGCCGGGTTTGGTTTCATAAAGACCCTTCTCCAGCCCCGATGGAGGTCTCAGCTCTTTCAGGGACACTCACAGAGTGATACCCAGACTGATAATAGCTTGTATCAGTTTGAAATGTCAGACTGAGGTTCAGGTGACCCGAGTCCCAATCTCGACTCTACTACCAATTCATGAAGTCACCTTGGGTAGGTCACTGCTCTCTCTGAGTTTCCCGCCGACAAAATGCCAAGGTGGGAAAAGATTAGGAGTTTCAGACTCAATGCGAACAGGGGGGCTGTCAGGTAGCATAAATGGATGAAGCAGCCTGGGTGTAAGACAGTAAGGAGTGGTGGGGACTGTGGTCAACCAGACAGCACCTGATGCTTCTTGCATCGGCCGAGGGTCCCGTGTGGGAATGCAGGCCTGGACCTCCAGAAAATCTCCTTTTCTAAGCCACTTGCCCCAATTCCACCTCTCATGCTACAGTGGCTGGAATTCAGGGTCTTCACACACATTCCCGCTTGGGTCCGCTTAGAACAAGGCTAAAGGGGTGTCCTGGAAACAAGGCCCCAAAAAACCTGGAGGCGGGACCTGTCATTCAGACACTCCTCTCTGCTGCCCCCTGCAGGCTTCTTCAAACACTGCCTCCCGGCCTTTGTGTTTCTCAACTGGCCCTTCTAAGGTCTGGAGCACTGGATATACTTTTAGTCTAATCAGTGGCGGCTTAGAAGAAATTCTGGAAATCTTTTTAAGTACAAAAAAAAAAAAAATTTAAAAGAAATTGTACATAGAGGGGGAAAATAGAGTACAAAAGAGTCCATAGCTGGCAAAAATATAAAATCCATTATCCTTGGCTTAAACGTGCTAGGTGGGTGTGGTGGAACCGACTGAGGAGCCTGGAATCACGTCCCTGTAGGTTCTGTCACCCTCTCTCTGTGCCTTTCTTTTCTCATCTCTAAAATGGGGACAATAATGCTGCCGGGTAGATTGTGGTCATGGGTAAAAGAGATCGTGGAGGAGGGCACAGTGCTTAGCACAGCCCTCCACACANAAAATGGGGACAATAATGCTTGCCGGGTAGATTGTGGTCATGGGTAAAAGAGATCGTGGAGGAGGGCACAGTGCTTAGCACAGCCCTCCACACAGAGACAGTTCTCAAAAACACACACAAAAAAACCAATATTCATGGTCATGACTACGCTTCTAATTAACTGGTCATTTACTGTGTGTCAGACGCTATGACAGCTCCTTCCACATCTGTTTTTTCATCTAATTCATAGAAATATCCCAAGAGGTAGGTATCATTACCATTTTGTAGAAGTGGAAACAGAGAGGCGAAGTGACTCGCCCAAGGTCACACAGCTAATTAAGAGGCAGAGAGGGGAACTGAACCCAAGGGGTCACTGCCTGACTCCAAAACCCCTTTTACCCCGGTTTGGTGCCTTCCTTTGGGGGCCTCACCTCCTTCGCTTCTTCCGGGTGGATTTCTTCTTTTTTTTCTTCCCCCTGGAGGAAGGTGGTGGCGTCCAATCTTTGTCGTGGGAGGCACTGTGGGGAGCACGAAGGCTGGGGTTAGTGGACTCAGGGCTCCCCAAGCCCCCAGTCAGGGCTGTCGCCGCCATGGAAGAAGGACCCAGAGCGAGTCCCTAATGGCCACCTCATGGACAAATTTGGTCACACTTCAGACTAAGTGCCTCAAATAAGGAGCTAATGCCGACCTAATGAGACAGACGCTGCACGTTACCCAAACACCAATTGATTATTTAAAGCAGAATTATAGAGGTTAACTGCTCCTTAATAGATTTATTATCGGATTTGCAAATGGTTCACCTTGGTAAATAAATTGCTTTTTAAATCATGAATCGGCAGTTTGGCCCCTTCCCTCCCCAATACGTCTTGTCCATATAGTTCCTGCTGGAAATGTAATCGGAGGCCTATATGTTAAGTGGCAGCTGATTATTAATAGTATATTTGCTGAGGTCTGATGTAATGAGATACATATCTTCCATCGCCTTGCAGAACCTCAGAACCCTCCACTCTTCAGGAATAATTATTTCCCATTCAATTAAATTCTAATGCTCAGGCTGCAGTTAAATGAAGTCGAGTTATCTCCTATTATAATTGGGGCAGGCTCCAGGGATATTTTTAAAACACTATCCCATGGCAAGGGGCGGTGGTTGGGGCTGAGAAACTGCTTGGAAATTGAAACACGCCAATCCCGTTGGACTACGGCGAGAAAATGTAATATTAATAAGAATATTATTGTCATTATTAGCCGTAACACAACTACAGTTTATTCACTTATTACGTGCCGAGCGTTTTATATACTTGGATGCTTGCAAAACGCGTTGGTGGGGGGCTGATTTTTTTTTTTAATCCTTACCTGAGGATATTCTCTCCATTGCTTTTCAGAGAGAGTGGAGGGAGAGAGAGAGAAAGATCGATGTGAGAGAGACACATGGATCGGTTGCCTCCAGCACACGCCCCGACCCGGGCCGGGGATGGAGCCTGCAGCAGGGCACGTGCCCTCGGCGGGAATCGAACCCGACCCTTCCGTCCGCAGGCCGGCGCTCTGACCACTGAGCCCTCGGGCCAGGACGGGCGGGGAGCGTGGGGGAGCCTGGTTTTAATCGCCTCATTTTACAGGTGAGGAAATTGAGGCTCCGCAACTTGACGGGGCGGCCCGCAGCTGCAGAGAATTGACCAGCGTCCGGCCGGGAACTGACAAGGTCGGTGCGGTTCCCGCCCCGAGCGCTTTCCCACAAAGCCAGCTGCCTTCTCCAATCTGGTTCCGCGCCATGCTTTTGGAAATCACCCAGCTCTTTACAGAACATCATAAAATGCTGCCATGTTGAATTCCATTCCAAGAATCTTGGTCATTTTGGTGAGTTGGGAAAAACCCCCGATAAAGTGGTGACAACATATGCTAAGGTCCCTGCATCGCCAGTATAGAAACCATGGAGCTAGAGCCAGAACACTTGCAAGAGAGTCGCTTTTAGCAGGTTAAACATAAATGTCATAGGGATTAAGTACTCAGCTACTTTTTAAAAAAGAAAAGTTTTTATTGATTTTAGAGAGAGGAAAGAAGAGGGAGAGAGAGAGAGAAACATCAGTGATGAGAGTCACTGATCGGCTGCCTCCTGCACGCCCCCTGCTGGGCTGGGGATCGAGCCCACAACCCGGGCCTATGCCCTGACGGGGAATCGAACCATGACCTCCTGGTTCATAAGTCGATGCTCAACTGCTGAGCCACACCGGCTGGATGTACTCAGCTACTTAACTATACTTACACGTTAGAAAGCACAGAGGATACCACGCATTTCCGGGAAGCAGACAGGCCACCTCCAAATTTTTCCTTCAACAAGTGCCTGACGCAGAGGAACAGCCTAATACATATTTGGTGAGTGACCAAAGGAGGGATGAATGGATGACATAATTTAGCCGCTGGTTAAATCATCTTGTTTTACGTAAACATTTCCCAGTATAACAGCTGCCAGGACTTTGAGGGAAAAATCCCCCAAAATATCTAAGAGGGGAATAAAACAGGAGGCCTGTGTCCAAAGTGTGTTGCAAGGGATGCAGGCGCTCACTCACACCATGTGTCCTAGTCCGGCACAGAGCGAGTTCTCAGTAAGTGCAGTTTATCTTATCATAAGGATCATGACCATTATTGTCGCTATTAATTTTCTTACCATTATTACTGTGGCTTTAATCACATCAGAGAGAGTGGGTTACAGATAAAGAGAAGAGGGGAAGGGGCCCAGACGCTCTACAGTCGAAGTGACAACACGGCATCACTTTTCAGGTTTTCACGCCCAGAACCCGCTTTTCTGGCTCCATGAGACTCCGGCTCGAGTTTGAAGCATCCCTGGTATCCTAGGCCCACTGTCAGGATCAGGGTGTGCCCGGTCTGATTTAACCCTCACCTGACTTTGAGAATTAGACCTCAATATTCCCATTGTACAGTTGTAAAAACTGAGGCCCAGGGAGGAAAACTAACCTGCCCAAGGTCACTCAGTTAGTAAGTGGTAGCTAGCTCCCCTCTGACCGTCTGGGAGACAATTGCAAGTAAGGAAATTCCCTTTCTCCTCCCTTCTCTCTCCATTACCCTCAGTCTGTTATGGAAACAAGCTTTATCCTGTTTCTGGGAGTGAATTCCCCAGATCTGATGTTGAACTTCACTTCTCCAAGCTGACAGGACTTAAGTGTTTCTCTCTCATTGAAATCACAGCCTAACTAAAGCCCGTAGCCAAGACGGCAGCCTGGGTGGAGTAGCAAACTTCATCTACAAAGGCCACTCTGGCTTCCCAAGCCACTTCTTAAAAATCCAGGTTCTTAACTAGAGGTCCTCGTTCATCAGCCTCAGGGGCCTACGAATCCTTTAAACTGGCATCCTCCACTTGAACTTCCTCGCTGGGCTGGAGAGAGGAGCCGGGGTAGCATCTCACCTGCGAGCTCTGGCGGGACTGAGCTCCCGGCAGGCCTTGTCTCTCTCCCAGCTGTTGGTGCCCGAGGCCTCAGGGGCCAGATGCTGGCTCAGCTTTCCAGAGGGTCCATCCTGAGCTAGAACCCTGGGGTTGCTCTGGGGTTCTGTCCTATAGGGGCAGAAATAAAGAAGACAAGTGTTAGAGTATGTCAGAGACCCTCAGTGTTCATCAACCTTCACAGACATCCTAGTATTTCTCAGCTTCCCTTGCAGTTAGGTTGGGGCCCACCAGCGAGTGCCCCTCCCTGCGCCCCTGCCTGCAGATTCCAGATTCCAGGTCCAGCATCGATCCGAAACGTCAGCGTTTCTCAGGCACCCAGCTCATCAAGATTGGTTTTATGACTCGGGATGAATGCATCTGATAAGCCCCTTGCTTCCCCGGGCTGCCAGGAGAGCGGGCCAAGCCCAGTCAATATTGAAGGAAGGACAGCAAAACACATCCATCTCTGTCAGCTGCTTACGGTGCATCTTTAGAAGTGGAGCTGGGAGATGCTGCAAGCCCAGGAGGAATGAACATTCTAGTCAGGGCTTCCCAGCCCTCCTCGCTGCCAACTCCATGCTTCCAGAACTCCCCTCCATCCTGCCCAGTTTCAATTTTCCCTACACCTCCCTGCCCCCTCCTCCTACTCTGAGGGTCTCATTTCCACGCCTTTGCCCAGGCCAGTCTATCCATGTGGAACGCTGTCCTGGCTCTTCTCAGAGAGCACAAGGTTTGTAATGTCTGCCAAGCCCCCAGCAAGGCATGCCTCCTCCCATACTAGTCCTGGCCCAGGCTGACCTGTATTCATGAACTTGAATGCCCTGAGTGTCTGCAATGTGCCTAGGCCAGCTCAAAGTGCGGGGAAGACCTTTCTGAGGAAGCAACAGGGGAGCGGAGAGGGGAAGGATTAGGGGCTAGCCTCGTCGTTTGTGACGGTTTTAAAATGTGTTCACAGATTCTTTGACACTCCTGCCATCAAGAGATGGAGCCTAATTTCCTTCCCCTGAATACTGGATGGGCTTAGGGACTCACTTTTAATGAATACAATAAATTATGGAGAGTAGACTAAATTAGTAGAAGTGATAAAGTGTGACTTCCGAGTCTAGGTCGAAGAGGCAGCTCCTGCCTCGCTCTCTTGAACTGACCACCCAAGGGAAGCTGGCTGCATGGAGGGCCCAATGTGGAGGAGAGCCGAGGCCTCCTGCCGACAGCCGGCACCAACCAGCCGGGTGAGCCGGCCACCTTGGAAGTGGATCCAGCCCCAGTCCAGCCTTTGGATGAGACTGCAGCCCTGGGCGACATCTGACCACAATCACATGAGAGATGGTGAGCCAGCCACCCAGCCAAACTCCTGACTCACAGGAGCCGAGACATAATAACTGTTCATTGTTGTTTTACGCCACAAAGATTTGGAGTAATTTGTTGCCTGGTCATATATGACTTCTACACAGGCATGTGCAGGAAGCCAGACATGTGCTCCTGGCAGAAGGAACAGCAAGTTCAAAGGCCCTTGGCAGACGCAAGGAACAGCAAACAAGGGCAAGAGTGATACGGGGCAAGATCAGAGATCAGGCCTTTGCAAGTCCGAGGAAGAACTCTGAGCCCTCTGGGACTGGGATGGGAAGCCTATTGGACAGGAGAGTGGCACGGTCTCCTTTCAAGGTGTTCCAACACTTTGCTTTTCAGCTTTCTTAAAACTGAGAGAGACCCCGGGAGCACGTAGGCTGGGGTTTCCCAAACCTGGCAGTCATTAGAGGCCCCACGGAGCTTTAAAAAAGTCCAGATTCCTTGTTCCCATCTTCGCTGTAATAAATCAGTCTCAAAGGGGTGAGACATGGAACCTGTATCTTAAAGAAACATCCCATATTGGATCATGAATAAAATACGAATTGGTTACCAGAACTAAAAGGCTCCGCATGATCTGGCCTCTGCCCTGCTGCAAACCCCACCTCCTACCCCTCTCCCTGTCCCTTACTCCACTCTAGCCACATGGCCTCCCTGCTGTTCCTCAAATGGGACAGGGCCTTTACTCAGGGCCTTTGCTCCTTCTGTTCCCTCCACCTGGCATGCTGTTCCTCCAGCTCTCTGCATGGCTGGCTCCTTCCCTGACCCTCATGTAACCTTGTCTTTTTACCTGCCCCATCACTGTGCCTTCCTTCCGAGCACTTGTTACTATTTGAAATGACTGCTTTATGTGTTTCTTTTCTATGTGTCGATCTTCTGGGCTAGGTGAGCTTCAGGAGAGTGGGAACTAGTTTCTTTTCTCACCACTGAATCCTCAGGGATATAGGGCCTGACAGAGTGTGCCCTTTTGCTCAATAGCCATTTGTTGAATGAATGAATGAATGAATGAATGGTCAGATGAATTCTGATGATGTGAGAACCATGGATCAGATTCAACCTCTCCTTACATATAAAGAAGCAGAGGCCCAGGGAGAAGGAGCAGTCTGAGGTCTCACAGCACGTCATCAGACTAGGACCTGAGCCCCATCCGCCCCCCTGTGCAGCCTCACCCATCTCCCTTCCCTGCCTCCAGCTCTGCATCCTTGCAGGGTTTTAAGAAAAACTCTGTGCTCCGTCTTTGCTGAGGAGGATCGGCAGCTGCCCCGTTTTTTACCGCACAGCCCTTCGATGTGGCATTAAAGAAATACTTGAAAGAAGGCAAGATCTTCCGGGGCCAGCTGAAACAGTGAAGTCAAGGGCTGCATGCTCCACTTCACAGAGGGAGGGAGGGAGCCCTGAGTGCCGCGTTCCACAGGCCTCCCCACTCCGCTCCTCCGCTCCCGCTAATCAGAGACCTGGAGCTTAGTTGCTGCTCTCTGTAGTCATGGCAACCAGCAGATTTACAGCCTCTGATAAGAGCTGGGGCTGAACTTTCTGCAAAACTCTCCGAGGATGCCTAACTCCCCAGCCGCTTCCCCCGGTTTTCTCTCCCAACAAAGTGCTTATTCAGCCCAGGGCTGGGCACAGGTTCCGGTGCCCTCAGCACTAAATTGAGTTGAACACCGTTTGGGGAATCTGAGATGAACAATGTTGCAGGGGAGCAGGAAGGGCCCCCAGCCCCAGCCCACCTCTGACAGAGTGGGGAAACTGAGGCTGGGAGAAGCAAGGGGACTTGCTCAAGGCCACATGATGGGCGACTTATGTTAGAGCTGCAGCTGGGACCCTGGCCTTTTGACTCCCAGTCAAGGGCTCTTTCCACGTCACTTTGTCACAGCAGCCGCTGGCACGCGTCAAGAGCCTGCTCCGGGTCATACCCTGGGGTCAGCACTTCTCATGCGTATCTCATTGAAGTTTCCAAAGACACCCAGGAGTAACCGTGGACATCCCCACTACACAGATGGAGAAACTGAGACCCGGAAGAGTAAGTGGCAAGGACACCCTGCCCCGTGTGTTTATAAGAATTAACTGAGGATGAAGGAGAGCAATTTGGAAAACACTTGGAAAATGTAAGGAAATAGTGAGTGGGGGTGAAATTACCCTGCAAGACCGGGACTTGCCCTGTGTGTTTGGAGAAGGGGCTGTAACTCACGGTTTGGCCCGAATCTCATACTCCACACACAGGAGTGGCGCTTGGTCCTTAGGTTTGGGACATCCCTGACGCTTAATACCTCCATCCCACCAATACCTTCTCCTGGGGGTGCAGCATTTGCTAATCCAGGGTCTCACCTGATGCTGGCAACCCTCTGTAAGTCACTCAGTTTGGTGAACTTATGCCACAGGCATCTCACACCTTCACGTGCAGGTGACTCACCTGGGGAATCCTGATAGCATGCAGGTGCTGACTCAGCAGGTCTGGGTTAAGGCCTGAGCTTCTGCATTTCTAACCAACTCCCAGATGCTGCTGCTGGTCCCTGGACCACACTTTGAGTAGCCAGATTATAGATTTTTACAAAGGATTTGACCCCGAGGGCTGGCCTGGCCAGACAAGCACAGCCCTCTAGCGTGCTCTCTCTGCAGGCCATTGATGAGAGTGGTTCAGTTCAGTTCTCAGGGCTGAGAGGGTGAGTGTGTGAACAGGGGTGTGTGTGTGGGGGGGG